TTACTTAAGGCTGTTGCATGGTTGATCCGATTTAAGCGATATTTATCAATAATGTATTCTGGCAGAAATAATCTGTCTCTACAGGTGGGTATGCTCACAGTTGATGAGCTAGATTTAGCTTGTTTAGATATAATTCGATATGTCCAAAGCATAGTTTTTCGGAAAGAGATTGAGATGTTGTCATCTGATACCATTAGCAAAGTGAAAATAACAAATTCACCCTTACGAACCTTAAATCCAATAATTATAGACGGATTATCGTGTATCGCTGGCCGACTTCAAATTAGTTCCTGGTCCGAGTCGAGGAAGCATCCTATAATATTACCATCGAAGCATACAATTACAGATTTGATTCTACGGTATTACCATGTTCTTGAGGGACATGTCGGAGCTACACAGGTAATGGCAACGGTCCGAGAAAGATTTTGGGTGCTGAGGGGTAGTGTAGCCATGAGGAGAGTGATAAAGAAATTTGTTTATCGTAAAAGGAGGAACGCCCATCCCATTCAACAACTAATGGCACCATTACCTGCGATCAGGATAGAAGGTGGTGACTATCCTTTCTTATCAGTTGGGGTAGAATATTATGGACCCCTTATGGTTAAACATGGTAGAAATACTGAGAAGCGGTACGGTTGTGTATTCACTTGTTTAAGGTTGAGAGCTGTGCATCTGGAGGTGGCATATAGTTTTACCACCGACTCTTTTATCATGGCACTAATGAGATTTGTCGGCAGAAGAGGTTATCCAAAAGAGATTTATAGTGATAATGGATCAAATTTGGTGAGAGCTGAACGTGAATTAAGAAAATGTCTTCAAGGTTGGGTACAGAAACGTATAAACTCTGATTTACTAAGAAAAGGAATTGACTGGCATTTCAATCCTCCAGCTGCTAGTCATTGGAGAGAAGTGTGGGAGCGGATGATTCGCTCAGTACGTAGGGTATTGCGTGCTCTTGTAAAGGAAAAATTTTTAACAGATGAATGCCTTGAAACTTTTATGGTAGAGGCGGAGCGTATAACTAACAATTGAACTTTGGTTCCCGTTACCGATGACTCGAAGGATCTTGATGCAATAACACCAGCTAAACTATCACTATTGAGAGAGAATGTTGCAGAATTCCCCAACACTCTATCTAATGACAGGTATTCTAAGAGATGGAAGCAAGCGAGCTACTTGGCGCAAGTACTTTGGAAACGTTGGTCTAAGGAATATGTTTACCTGTTGCAGCGTAGATACGAGAGGGTGACTTAGTAATGATATGTTCTGACTTCTCTGAGAAAAAAAGTGGCCCTTAGGTCTAGTACAGGGAGTGATACCAAGTAAGGATAGACTAGTCATACAGGTAGAAGTGAGGACGAGAAAGGGGATCCTAGTGAGAGATATACGTAAACTGTGTCTTCTAGAAGCGGTAGATGGTAGGTAGCTACTCGGATCCCTAGGTGTACTGGTGTAAGTCCTAGGGATCACGAGATTGTCGGCATATTAATGTTTGTTGTTGATTGATTGTGATGCACATACTTGTACTGTTGTTACCTATTTTTGTCGGTGAAAATAACCAAGGTTCTTTTGGTCGGGAGTGTTACGGGAGAAATGAAGACATTTGGCTGATTAATACCTTTATGTAAATATCAATAATTTCACTGTGTTTTTTGGGTATATGTGTTTTACTTAACTTATGAACTTGTTTGATTTATTATTATTTTCGGACATTTTGGTTTCTGTTTGTCTTGGTTTGCTGATTGAGAGTTTTTGCTCCAGGAACCTATAAAATTGAATGTTTTTGTAGTTATTATAATTATTGTTGTTAGAACGACATTTTGGTCGACTATTTGTGAATTGCGAATAGACTTTGGTACCTAACTTTGGAGTTTGGTTCTGTTGTTAATCTGGGTTCGTGAATTGCAAATACTGTACTTCAATAACGGGAGGAACCAAAACTTGGACGTAACATCGCTCCTCTAAGACTTGTCACCATGCCTAGAATGGAATGAAGGGCGGCTGTACTCTGTGCTAAGATTGGAAAACATGTGGAACAACAACTGCCTATCCATATCTCCTCTGACACTGATTAGACGGATTCATTAATTGTTTATCATTACATAAGAAGTACAACCAAAAGATTTGAGAGATTCGTGAACACCAGGTTAGCAACGATTCACGAACTGTCTACGGTAAGCCAATGGAGACATGTTAAATGTAAACATAACCCTGCGGATTATGCTTCACGTGGTTTGTCGTTAGACGATAGCATCAAACTAAATGAATGGTTTCACGGACCGAAATTTTTATGACAAGACGAAAGTAATTGGCCAACTCCACTCGAAGAGGAGAAACATGTTTTAGCTCACTTTTCTATAGAGGAACTGGGTGAAACATCAACGAATAGTCGCTTATACCAATTTTTGAATCGATTTAGTAATTGTCAGACATGGTTCAGAAAGATGAGAATATTCGCTCTATGTAAACGGTCTGCCTGTAATATGAGGATGAAGTTAGACAGAAGACCATTAGTTTATGGTAGGTTGAGACTGGAAGAAATTGATATCGCGAAACAGGATATAATCGAATTGGTTCAAATGGTCTCATCCCCAATGGAGTTGGAAGCATTAGGGCAAATACAGCATGATGAAGAGCGCGGCAACAAATATGAATCTCGAGAAAGACCGAGGAAAGTAGAAGGATTTGTTTCGAATATGGAAATGGCACACCAGCTAATATCTGCTGATAAAAGAATGACAGGTAACATTACACGCAACAGCCCGATAAAAAATCTTAATCCCTTCGTAATAGATAACATGATTAGGGTAGGAGGACGACTTCGGCTATTGTGCTTGCCTCTCGAAAGCAAGCATCCGCCCATACTTCCTAATAAGCTTTTTGTTACTGTCAAGCTGTCATCCGAAGAGTCCTGAAACGGTGCTTCCTATGAAAGAGACTTAACAGTTCACCGTGCGCTAAGATCATGGCTCCACTACCAGAGTGTCGTATGGAAGCTTACGTGCCACCATTCAATTCTGTTGGTGTAGACTATTTTGTGTCATTTTACGTTAAGAGGAGGAGGATATTTGAAAAGCGATACGGCTGTTTGTTTACTTGCTTGTCTATTGGAGCAGTTCACATCGAAATAGCTCACACCTTAGATACTGACTCATTTTTATCGCTCCAGATTCGGTGCTAGACGAGATCATCCAAAACACATGTTTAACGACAACGGTTCTAACTTCAGAGGAGCCGACGCTAGTCTCAGATAGATCGTGTGTAACTGGGACCAGAATAAGATGACAAATACCCTTTTGGAAAGAGGTTGCGAATGGCACTTTAATCCTCCGAGAGCTAGTCATCGTGGTGGTATATTGGAGCGTATTATAAGGTCAATAAGAAGGATTCTGCGATCACTGCTGTTTCAGAAGGTATCGATAGACAAGTCTTTCGAAACTTTTCTAATAGAAGCTGAGAGAATACTGAACAATCGACCACTGGTGAAGCTAGTTAATGAATGTGATAATCTAGATAGTATTTGTAGTTAGCAGAGGTGTAACATTCGATGAAACGCAAATGAGTAAAACATGCTTATATAACAAAAAATGGAAGGAAGCTCAAAAACTAGACGATCTATTCTGGAGCAGATGGCTACGGGAATACCTACCAAGCCTTCAAGCGAGATCCAAGTGTTTGGACGTGAGAAAGAATCTACAACCGGGAGACTTAGTGCTAGTAAACAGTACTGGCACACCGAGAAATCTGTGGCCGAAAGCTATAGTTAGAGAGGTCAATTATGGCCCGGATGGACAAGTCAGAACAGTGCGATTAAAGACAGCAACCCAAGAAATCACCAGGGATATAAGAAACCTTTGTCTACTGGAAGAAGAAGACTACTTGAACGCCACGGACACGAGGTCTGGACGTGGTGACCGCTTCGGGGGAGTGTGAGTTATTTCCATAACTAATGGTAGTTATGCCATAACTAACCAATCAGATTGTGGTTTAAGCGCTCACCACCCTATCTAGTCTGACCGGTCTGTAAACTTTCTTTGTTGTAAATGACCTATTGATTGAAGGACGTTATCATCTTATCATATTGATGTGACTCATGCTTTTATTCATTTTGTAAAGACACGTTATACTGGTCGGTACGTTTGCTCAACTTACATGTTAATTGTAATTTCCTTATTTATTGTACTAATTTAATCGTTTTTTGTTTAGAAACAGATAAAGTTTAAAACCAAGTTGACTTTACTTTTACTATAGCTTTACCACAGACTCTGTTCTCGCCAGTATTGTTTTTAGAATTAGAATTACATCAGTTGGACAAATTAATTGCTACAACATGTGTACGGTTGCTTAAAATTACCAGGTAGCGTAGGTGAATCATCCTACTAACTAGATATCGAGCATAAAATACCAATAATGTGACCTAAGCAACGTACTCATGTGTTACAGAGGAACGATGGGTATCAGGTGCGATGTTTTAAACATGCTATCGGAAGAAGAGGAGGAAGGAGGACCATAGTTATGGTCATTTGATTTGCGATCAATATAGGTAGTGTGTAGATATATTCAAAGACTGATACGATGAGAGGAGCATGTGTGGTAGATTATGGTCAAAATTAGCTGATCTCCGAAGAGATGTGGAAGTCACTGTAAATTATCTGTCACACTTTATAGCATGCGCTCGCATGTATCTGTTCCCGATGAATTCCAGGAAGCAGTGGATGTCGTTTAGTCACTCAGTTAGTGGTAGCGTTGTGTTTATATCTATAAGTGAGATACAAGATATGGAGAATTCGGTCCCAAGTTCATACTAAAAAATTGTGTGCCATAAGGAAGATCATAGTGCGTACGTCAAAAATTCCTTAATGACCATATAATGTGTAATTGCCAAATTACCATAATAAGGACAAATTATTATTGAATGGACTGTTAGAAAAGAGATGGTTGCTATCTTGCAAAGTAATTCAGATGTTTTAAAATCCGTAGTTAGATATCGCAATTTGTTTAGGTGAACAACTTTTCAGCTCTAAATTTGGCCGCCGCAGATGAAGATAGTTCAATCTCAGTTGCTATGGTTTCGTTTGGTTAAAATTTCTTCGTAGATCTTAGGAATATTTTCAGAAAACTTTGGCGATTTTAACCTTTCACTTTTCTCTTAAATGCATTCTTTTATATGGAACGAAAAGTTCTGGCTCCCACCTAACAAGACATGGGAGTTAATGAAAGAAATAAACTCAGATGGTATATCACCTACACTAACAAAATCTTTGGACTGCTTTTATGTGGTTGCTTTACTAACAGCCATTCGTTATTATTTAAAAGAGTAAACTGGATTGTAATTTTAATATTTTATCTTCAGGTTTGTTTTTATTCCTCATGGTCTGTCACTGGGTTTGCGCTTTCCTAAAATATCACATGTTCCTGATATACCTGTCTTAGAGAGGGTTTTTAGAAAAACTCATAAACCGACACATGCGCAAATAAAAGTATCCGATGTTTTTATCTTTATAATTATAGGAACTTTCGAAAACTCTTAGTTTAGGCGACCGATCGATTGAAGTGTGGTTCCGAAAAAGACGTAATCGAGAAAAGTCTTCAACCATTGTGAAGTTCGTGGAGTCCGAGTAATTATTGTCAATTTTTTCTGTAATCAAACCTGACTGTTAGATGGAAGTTATGTTACTATACTACCATGTTTTTGTATGGATTATTTGTATTGCACGATGTATGTCCGATTTCAAGTAATTAAACGACTTATTTTTTAGAAGTCTTACTTCTGGGATGTGAAAGACACAATGTTGAATTATCCATTTCACGTAATTTCTCAATATACTATTATATCCCTTTATGTTCATTCCTGTTACTATGATAATTGCCCAGCACTTATGTAATTTTCATGATTTTCGATCGTCGGTGACTTAATTTTAACTAGGTTTCCAGATGTATTAATTCCGGTACCTAATAAATGCCATTGAAATATGCTTACTTAGCACAATCTGCTGAATACAGTATCATGGAGTTTAGATTTTTCTACCGTTGCTTTATTTATGAAATGAGAACTGTTTCCTCGTCGATCACCAACATTGTGTTGTCAATATATGGAACTTTTATTAAACTTTGAATCGTTAACACTGCAATATTTTTTGGCCGAAGCTATTTATCAAGAATGACGATTTGCCATCTGAGACCTATCATTGATTGCTTATCTTTATTTTCACTGATTTTCACCTTCATCTATCAAGTTGTGGCTCACTGAAGTTTCTGAGAGTAGCTCATCGGAGTTAAATTTTGATTCAATGAATAAATTAATTACCTTTGCATCTTCATTTTTGAGCCATACTGTTTTTTTAGGGCTAGTGATACCACCTGGTTGCTAAACATATTATAAATATACTGCTCCTTGAATCTTCATACTACTGAATAAATGTCAGCTCTAACTCCAGAACCAATGTTTCCACAGTTTAAGAGAGGTATTATGAGTTCAATAGGCTAGAGATGAAATAAACTAGATCATGAGTGTTTAAAACAACTCCTAATATCGGTAGGAATCATTACAACTGTATTTTTATTTGAATATTAATTATGACTGCAAACAAAGTTTTATCCAAGTAATAACTTTCCGAAATATGACTGGATATTATTAACCGGCTGGTTTATCCATTTTCATTGATTTACTCCAATTAGAGGCTTCGGAAGTCTTAAATTTCATTATCTCAACGGATATGGTTTTTAAAAAAATGTCATTGGGCTTGGTCTTACTTTACTTCCGATTTTGCATACTTCCTGCTTTTCAGGTCTTGACTCCGGAAATCCATTGGTATTATATGATACAACTTGGATACTACACAGCTTCATTATTATGGATTTTTTATGAGGTTAAACGATCGGTTAGTATATATTTTGGTAGAACAAACATTTTGGTTTGATTTAAACATAATTTTGGATCTGTATAAAAAGATTATTAGCAAAATACTTTACTGGGAAAGAACATGCCTTATTGATTGGTCTTTTTTGTCAAATACATCTCTTGCGCGTTATTTTCCTCCACAAAGTAACAGACCTCCTCTTGTTGCATTTGCACTTAAACTAATAATATTTATTTTGTCAAACCGTAACCCACTAATTGAACCATGATTTCTGAAATATAATAGATATTCGTACATTCTCCGTAACTCTGTGTTGTTATCTCGATAGTATCTTGGTAATTCCATAGCATTTGTTATCTTGTGTTATTTTATTGTATATGGCATACATTTTTAAATATCTTTTCCTGATAAACATAAAGAGGACCACTATGCGCAAATAGGAATTCAGCAGACAATGAAGTCTATCTACCTATAAACGTGAATATTTGGTTTTATTACCAATCTTGTTATTTTTCAGCTTTTCTTACTGGATGTCGTTCGCTGGTTGATTCAGTTAGTGTATGTAGAGGTGACGGGTGAATGGGAGTTACCGAGCTCCATCTACTTATGCACAATAACTGTATAACTTGTAGATTCAACTTCATCGTTAGTATATCAAGAAACTATCCATCAGGTTGTACGTTTATGAAAATATTTAGCTCACTCTTCTCACTAGTAAATTGGTTCTCAACCCTTGTGTTCACACACGAACTTAACTATTTTAACTATATTCTGTATGTTATTCAGATTGTTTGATGTAAATCAATTTTCACCAAAGCTACTTACAGATACTGACGAGGCACTAGGCAAACATCCTTGAAGATAACAGTAGACAATGGTAATAGTATTTTGAACACTATGACATTTTAAGAGAACGATTCATCGCGTAGTTTTACTGTAAAGTTATGTGGCGAGCTCAGAAACTAAATATAATTATTTACAATAAGCGAACTACACATGATTTTTGTGATTATCTAGCCTCTCTAGGTCTTTTAAGTGTGAACGATACAATCTTTTCCATTACTCTACAAACTAAAAAGTCAGGGTTGAAGACACGTCCAATTCCTTCACTGCCCTATAACTAAGAGTTTGTCTTCTATGTTCACTGTGATGTTAGTTTTATCAGGGTCTGGAATTAGCCAGAGGAAAACTGAGGAAATGGAATCATAGGAGAGCTAGTCCCTTATACTGTTGGATATCCCTGTGGTTCGTACTCAGGATATATATAAGATACACGTCAGTGGACGTTTTGCTGCACACTATTGTGAACCAAGTAAATTAGAAAATGAGCAGTAGGCACAGAGCAATATGAATCTGTTGTGCAAAACACAATGCCTGAAGTTTCTGTATTCAATCATACGTGGATTCGTGGATGCCCTTTATTGATAAATCATAAACTAGGCCGAAACAATCTTTTAATAAGTAAAAATAAGAGGAGTTTAAGTGCTTTGTTTCAGAAATGTCTGCGAAAGTTAAATTTTCTTAACTACAAAGCTGCTGAAAGAATAAATATTCGTGTCTACAGTTCTTTGTTCAAAAAAACTATACTCTCGTTGCTTTGTAAATCACATAGAATATACCTGATCAGTGACTATTGGTCAAACAGATAGGTTAAACATGATGTTCATGTGTGTGTACGGCAATAAATTGTGTCGTAGTTTTTAATTTGATACTTGATTTCTGTCCTAAATTTTATTCTCATATGAATCAATAATTCTAATTATTTCTTGATGGTTTTATGTACCGTTCTATTTCAATATTTTGACCTTGGGGAGGCTTAATTACGTACTGATATTTCTTGGACATCATACAAATGGTGTAAAATAACGGTAGCATATTAAATATACTTTTATTATTCACCTTCTCTATCAGTCTTAAATGATACGATTCAACTAAATGGTCAGACAAACTTCGTAGGTAATTACCCTTAATAACTCTAGAGGTTTACAATCTGACTTGCGTCACTTATGGTGTTGACGAGATATCCGTCTGCTAACCGAAGGACTAGCGTACTGAACATCAGTTCGCTCCGTCCTACTATATGGATGCGAAAGATGGACAGTCAGAGTAGAATATCTTCGTAGGTTATTAGTATTCAACCTTAGGTGTCTCTGAAGCATTGTTCATGTATCATGAGACAACCGAGTAAGCAATGCCATAGTTGGGAAACAAGTATCAGGTAAGGATGGCAGATAATTTGATGAAGTAGTAAAACTTCACCAGTTGAGGTGGTTGCGACATGTGCTACGAATGCCCAACCAACAACTGCATCATCGAGCTATGTTTTGTGTTAAAAGAGTAGGTCGGAAGAAAGTTAGGGTCGGCCAAAACAAAACATGGCACAAATCCATGAAGTCACTGACAACCAAAATGAGTTATGTGGGTAAGTGTAGAATACCTGGTCGGGGTCCGCGAGATGATAGTAATCGATGATTAGAGACCTCGAATGACATGGCTCAAAAACGTTGTCAATGGTGCAGGTGTATTCATTCTTTGTGTTCTCTCAACTCCTAACTTTCGGAGTTCCTCACCATCTTTTTGTTTCTATTTCTAAGTTTGTTTCACTGGAGTTTACTTCTCGAGTTATATTTTCGAACCCTAATCTCTCCGATTACTGCCAGTACTTCTACTACCTCTACTGTTATGGGATTTGAATTGACATTTTGCGTCTCTGTGCTAATGTTGTATGGCAACTGGAACTGATGTATATACGTACAAAGTTCTACGTTGTAGCTGATTGATTGATTGAGTTAAAAAAAGGATCAGCGTTTCAGTTTACATTGCCTTCATGATTCTGCTGGCTTTTCATTGTTCAGATGTAGAATTATAGTGTGTTAAATAAATACCAGTCAGTACAATTTCCAGCATATCTTGACTACATAGAAAGTGAAGACTGGAACATGTAATTACGAAACTTCATATGCGATAACTAAGTGATTTTATAATTTCTTAGTTTTGTTTCACGATGAATTTTTATTTATTTTTTCAAAAGGATTTCAAAGTTCTCCTTATGCATCATATTTCAACGGTTTTGTTGTTAACATTTTCCTATGTTACAAATTATCATCGAGTTGGTGCTGTTGTTCTCATACTTCATGATATTGCCGACTGTTGGATGGAAGTAAGTAGAACAAATAATGTGATCGTTCGGTACATTTATTCTTGTAAATTACTAGTATATATATATATATATATATATATATATATATATATATATATATATATATATATATATATTGTTTAAGTATCATGAAAAACGTTTTGTTTTGTCTCTGCTATAATCTAAAACGGATTACATTGATATAGTTGTGTTCACTCTGCAGTTACTTTGTAAAACTCCAGACAAAACTATCCTACTATACTTTTTTATTATTCAAACTCACTTACCTCATATTTGATACATTTCCTTGAGTCTTTGAATGTAAAGACTTGGAACTTGAACCAATGGAATATTTGACTATTACTGACTTTTAGTTTATTTTTAAGGCTACTATTATTCTAAACCATTGCTTAATGATGGTTGTTCTGTGAAATATATTCGAAAAGTCAAATAACTTAACTCGATTTCCAAAATTCGAGTTAGGTGTTGGATACTTGTGTTAAGATCAATCGTACTATGAAGGTTAAATGTGCATGATGGTTTTTGTGTAACGCCTAATTCGTTTGAGGTTTAAAGTTGATTTCTTGTTATTTTACTGGCTATGAATATTGATTTTTATGATAAAAGACAAGTTATTAGTTGAAGGACTAATAAATAGCAGAATGATTTGATTGGAATATTGAGCCCATCGATGTTAGATCGCAAATAGGAACTTGAAAATACAAAACGGTCGTTTCGTCCTAGTATGTGACTCATCAGCTGTACAAGTCCACGAACCTGCACGAAAACCTAGGACCTTTGGTCTCGCCCAAAAACTCTCAACCTATAGGCCATAGGGTTAGTGTCCAATGGTTTTGATGTTTCACTTCATAATTTGGTTAGTTTATTTTGAGCGAAAGAATGTAAATTGATAATTATTAAATTATATTTTTTTCAAACACATAACTGTAATCAGTAACAAAATTTCTTATCATGCGTTAGGATAAACAATAAGTGAACAAATTTTTCCAATGTAATTTCTATACATAACGGAGAGGTTTGGTGGCAAGAATACAATTTCCTAAATTATCGATAAGCATTCAACAGTTCTCTAGCGAGATATAGAAATGATTCAAAGTACTAATGTAGTGAAGGAGAACACAGATGGGGCAACCGAATTGTATTTAACGAAAATTACAGAGTTACTCAGTAAAATAGGAAAACCATATCGTAAATTGTTAATTTGCAAAATATTAGTTCATCATATCAAACTGGACTGTTCCTGTTGCAAAACATCAATCCATTGTCACTATTCATGCGTCTCATACAAATTCCATTGTGTCCTAACTCTTCCTTTCTTGATCTTCCCCCATCTTCTGCTGCCAGACATTACGTTGACACTCTCATCATATACTACTTATAAGTAGCTCACACCACACTAATACTGTGATGATCTCTATAACTCTTATGCTCTATTTTTAATCTGAAACGGTTACATAGACAATTAAGATTTAATTTTTTCAACCAGCTTTTCAGTTTATGAAAAAGCCAACTGAGTTTATGTCTCTCGGATGACTTAAGAAATAAATCATTAATAACGTGAAATGATTTTATACTTATACGATACAATCATACTCAGCATTATTATTCTTAATATTATTATTATTATTATTACTATTATTATTATTACAGGCAGCTAAAGTTTGCAAATATGTCAATAAACACGTCACCGCTGAAATTTTATTTTCTATTTTTGTACCCATTTGGATTGTGACACGACTGACTTATTTTCCACTATGGTAAGTATTCCAATCATTTCTTAGTTTGCATTAAAACTCTATAATTCTTTTAGATAATACTTAGTATTCACAATCAATATAATATCATAATTAACTAAAACTCTAATACCATCCATGTATATTCACTAATATAGGGATAGATTCTCAGTGTGTGAATTCTATGTTCATTGCAAAATGATATCCCATTACGGGGTTGTGAAGATTGTTAAGTTACACATTTGAAATCATGAATCTATCAAAGTTGGACTACCATTAGAAACCTGGATGCACTGGACGGCTGTTTTGCCCTAGTATGGGACTCATAAGCAGTCCTTCACCTCGCAGGATTCGAATCTAGAACATTCGGTCTTGCGCGCGCGAACGCCAAACCTCTGGACCACTGGTCCGGCACCCAACAGTGTTAATTTCCAGTGCCGTCCAGTGCTTCCAGGTTTCTAATGGTGGCCTAACTTTGATCGATTCATGATTTTAAAATGATATCGGTTGAAAAGTTATAAAATTCAACGGACTATCGTGCACTTATTTCATCTTGATTTGAAAATCTTCTTCAGTTTGTCGAGAATGACTTAAGTATTCAGAAACCTATCTTACTACTTAAATATTTAAAAGTTTGGTTCACATATACTGTTTAGTTATCTTGAGCTCAGAGAAAACAACTGTTTCTGAGTATCCATTGGAATTGCAGCTGATATCAGTCTATGTGGATGCCAACTTTTAAAGTTGAATAATATTCAAAACACAAGTATTATCATTAAAAGCTTTAGCCTTGCGGTTACTCAATGTATCACACAGACCTAAAGGACTGATCGCACAACCATTCATTACTACAGTTTTACAGTTACATTAGTTTTGCTGGCAGTTTGATGATTACATCTTTTGGTATACACCAATTGAAAGATAATTAAAACATTTACTCTATGATCTATTGGTTCAAAGGCTCATAAGTTAGGAAGAAACACTGGTTACAACAGTGGTTGTAAATTTGCATTAATATTTTTTTTAATGGGAAAGCTTTGATAATATGTATGAGTGTAGTAGTGAAAGCAGTGCTTGTCTATAGTGTCACAAAGAAAAAGACTATCAGTTATTAAATTCTATCAGCAATAATATTTATTTCAACTAAATTAATAATTTGAATAAGACCAAAACTACAATCGAGGCAGAGTAATATAAGTTCACTTTAATTACTGGTTTCTCATTGGCTGCTTACAATCATATATGTAATAAAAGAGTAACAATTAAGTATGATATAATCTGAAGTAATCAGTATTGATGACAGAAGGAATTAAAGTCACAAAGATTGAAGATAGCTTCTGTTCAATCAGTTTTATAAAGAGGGGATTGTACAAGCTATTTTTGACTGTGTTCATAAATTTTACTCAAAGGAAAGCCTATAAGATGAACTTGCCTTAATTACTACCAATCTACAAAAAAATGTATACCCACTGGGATTTCATCGAGAAGTACACCAAACTCAACTTATATGTTAATTAGGTAAGTAAGTACAGTAAAAATGAAAACCTGCTCCTGTTATCTACGCTTTAAAAGTGATGAAAGAACTATAGTAATTAATCAAACGATAAAAGTCACGATGAAAATTGCTTATCTATCAAAACGTTGTAAAAAAAGCACTACTCACTCCCAGAAATCCATAAGTCCTCTTTTTTCTCAGTACCTCTAACTGCAGATTACTAATCCATATGTACGTCCAAAGCAAATGCATTTGAAGAACAAAAAGAGTTTTACATGTTTGCATTTGCGAGACTGAGGGGCTCATTGACTTTAAATAGTGCAATAGTTAGGCATTTAATTGATACCAGACATATTATCGAAATCCACAAATCATTCAAAATAATCAACAAACAAAATAACAACCTCTCTTTGGTTTGTTGGAAGAATAGAGTAATTGAAGAACTCAAACCTTATTTATATCCAGACAGAGACGGTAATCAACTTATTATCACCATGGTAATTATCATTATCATTCTTAGTGCTTATTTTATTATGCAAACTTCAGTAAACTAATTCTGATTTTATGTACACTAAAGTAATCGTTTCACTAAATAATTTCTCCAAACTCATGTCAATCTTATCAAGTCTAGCCTACTTATTACGTAACTTTTCAATTACTAAGTCTAGACAAATGATTTAAATTTTGATAGAACAGTGAGAAGACGTTATTGATCTGAAAGGGACTAATTGTTTTAAAAATTATCTAAAACCTAAAATAAACTTTTCATAAACTCTGTAATTATTACAAAACCATGTTATCTGTTTTGGGACTTTAATTATTGACTCGTTCATGCATTCTTCATATTTTTATTTGAAATTCATATTCAAGTGGCCTGACTACGGGAAACATGTTTTCTCTTTCTTTTTGTATCACGTTTATAAATTGAGGACATCTTATACTGCACAGTGAATTATATTTATTTCAAGAAGAATAAAGATATTGACAAGTTACTTTGGTTGAATAGTTTATTAGTTATTCTGAAACAGTGTCTAAGTGATAAAAGTTTAACCAGTAAGGACCGGATTCAAAACCACGTTGGGCAGTACTGATCACCATCATACATGCAATGATCACCAAAACTGAGTTAGCTAAATCATATTTACTGAATCAATAGTCAGTCAGTTACAACGTAGAACTTCCCACGTATGTACATCAGTTCCAGTTGCCATACAACATTAGCACAGAGACGCAAAATGTCAATTCAAATCCCATAACAGTAGAGGTAGTAGAAGTACTGGCAGTAATCGGAGAGATTAGGGTTCGAAAATATAACTCGAGAAGTAAACTCCAGTGAAACAAACTTAGAAATAGAAACATAAAGATGGTGAGGAACTCCGAAAGTTAGGAGTTGAGAGAACACAAAGAATGAATACACCTACACCATTGACAACGGTTTTGAGCCATGTCATTCGAGGTCTCTAATCATCGATTACTATCATCTCGTGTACCCCGACCAGGTATTCTACACTCACCAACATAGCTCATTCCGGTTGTAAGTGACTTTATGGATTTGTGCCATGTTTTGGTTTGGTCGCTCCTAACTTTCTTCCAACTTACTCTTATACCACAAACCATAGCTGGATGATGCAGTTGTTGGTTGGGCATTCATAACACATGTCCCAACCACTACTTCATCAATTGATCTGACATCCTCATCCAGCATCCTTTTTATGACATCGACATTGCTTACTTGATTGTTCCAAGACAAACGAGCAATGCATCTGAGACACATATGATCGAAAACCAGTAACCTACGAATATCCCCAACTCTTATCACCCCGCATTAACGGTTCTTGGTGATAAAGGTATGTGAAAAGGGTTAGTCGTCGGGATAAGAACTTTTAGCGGGTGTATGAAGGATTTGATCGGCAAAAGTTTGGTCACGTGTGCTATTACGGGTATGAGGGCGTATGTCACTTACCGGCTCCCCAAACCTTGGAAGACTGGATGAATTTATTGAGTTATAAATCCTGTAATTCAAAGTTTAAAATCTTATATTTACTGATCTACATCATAGTGGATGTAGCATATTGTTTTGATTTGTTGACTCGTATTTACGGGCAATGTTAAACATATTTTCAAACAAATGAAATTAACTTGTCAGTGTCGTGTAATTCATATAATATTATATGAAGTCTAAATTAATGAAACTTGAAACATTTAAAAATACTACTTGAAAAGTAATTCATCTGTATTATTTCAGCTTGAATTGCCTAATACAGTGAAAAACATTGGTAAAGTTTATTGTTGGAATTTCTCTCCATCAGCTATGCATTGAAACAAATATTGTAGATATTTTATCTGAATATCTATTCATGTATAGAATAATATAAATATTGTATCACTATGGTTTTAATTTTTCTCTTGAACTTATTATTATCATAACTATCTGTCTATTAATCTATCGTATTATCAGCTCGCGTATTTTTAATGAAAAAATTTAAAAATTATGGTATTTTAGCCAGCGTTTTCAATTTACTCACAATAGTTCCAGTGTTTTTGATTAATTTACTACAGTGAAAAGTTAATTCAAAGAAACTTTATTCCTTAATTTTACAATCCCTATTACATAACCTACTTAAGTAAATTCTCTTTTGTTTGGTATCTGTTTCGCTCGCATCATGTTCATATAAATTATATTCACATTTTTGAAACCATGAATCGATCAAAGTTAGACCACCATTAGAAACCTGGAAGCACTGGACGGCCGTTTCATACTGGCATGTGACTCATCAACAGTGCGCATCCACGATTTCAAATATGTAACTTAACAATTTTCACAACCTCGTAATGCAATTACCTGTTCTCACTAGTGACTAGCTTCGTGAGGAATCTTCTCCGAGTTCTAGAGGGAAGACGTGACCAGTGAAGTTCAACCTGATCGGGTGTAGACAGTAACTACCGAAGACTGTATGAGGTCGCGCAACACCGTCAGATACCGGCCCAGTGGTCCAGTGGTTCGGCGTTCACGCACAGTGCCGAAGATCCTGGGTTCGGATCCTGCGGGATGCAGAAGTGGTGGATGCGCACTGCTGAAGAGTCCCATACCAGGACGCAACGCCCGTCCAGTGCTTCCAGGTTTCTAATGGTGGTCTAACATTGATCATTCATATGTAACTTAACAATATTCACAACCTCGTAATGAAAATTATATTCAATCAAATAAGGATTTCTTCACTGTTTATGATCGGTTTTCATCAATCCTTATTGACCAAAGCTTTTGTGAATAACATCAATTACATGAACTGATCGTTTTTATATCTTTCTTGTATGTGTTTATATATATCACTCACTTATTCATTATTATTCCTCTCATTTATAGGGTAATTTGGGCAATTATTAAATTTAACGTCTTTGTAAATGGTCCATATCCAGCTGTTTCTATAATGCTTGGATTTTTATTAGTTTTACAAATTTTACATATCTATTGGTTTTGTTTAATTGTAAAAATTGCTATACAAGTAAAATCAAAAGGACATGTAAGTTAAATGAATGAGTAGTTAGAGTTAGTTAATTATTTCTTTGATCAATTCAACTGATACCATGATTTATTGATTTTTTTTGATTAAATTATTCTATTGTTGATACTCCGGCATAAAACTAATCAACATTTTAAACATTCCTATTGAATAGTTTAAATATTTGCACTAATAATAAATAATATAAATATATATACCCTTTTAGAAAAAAAAAGTTACTAGTGGTTATCTGAACTTATTATCTCAATGAATAATAATAACACATTTGAGGCGACATAATAGAATGCGGATACATCAAGCTAATGAATCCTTATTAGGATAAAAGAGATGTCACATGATGGGTTTTTACTGCTAGTAACAAATGAATAGGACTTATATATCTTACAGGCATTAATGAAATCAATAAGGAATAACTCAAAACTTACAGTATAAACTTAAGAGTAAAAGTAACTGGACTACTGTAACCGACTTTGACTATAAAATTTAGTTATTGTGTCAGCTTTATTCAGAAACTAATTGAACCGATTTCAGTGCTTAGTCTTATTGGTCGAAAGTGTTGTTTTATTCTACTTCTATGTGTTACGCCTGCACGTAAACTTGTCATTTTGGTATGCTTGAACTCTTACGAGTTTACCCAGTCGGAAAACGAGAGCGAGGATCGAGGATCCGGCGACACGACATCCTACTCTAATCCGATTGTCCCGACCCCCATATTGAGTAAAAAATAAGAAGACTTGATTTGAAGTAGAACCTGTATTCTACAAGCATTCAGAAAGTATGAAGTCCGAGTCCAGGAAAGCATCAGGGTCCTGGACTAGGGATCCAGGACCGGGTCCTAGTCCTCGTCATAAAACGTTACAGATAATACGTACTTATACGTTTGGTCGAATAGGAAACAACATCGAAATCTGTGACAATGACAGTTAAGACGACTAATAGGAAGCAACATTTGAAGTGAGATTGATAGTCAGGACAACCAATAAAAAACAACATTGGAGCACGTGATATTGATATCTAGGTCGACCATAAAATTGACCAGTAGGAATTAAACAATAGGAATTGACCAATAATTCTCTTAGGATATTGGATGAATATCCCAACACTATGCCATCCAAAATTACTCGTCAACATAGATAATGGTTAGATAGATATCTCCGGACTAATCACTTGTGATTCTATATTAACACCCTATATAATATATCCTCTATCGTCGTCATAAGCCATACCTAACATTTATGGATTGTGTTATGCATGGTAGAATATTGTTCATTGTATGCTAAAATAGACATCTTGCCTTATAGATAGATGATATTGCATTCCTTGTAATAAATAGGCTAAAAAATGTATTGATACCTTTCAGAAAAAAAAATCGAGATCAAACTTATGATCTATTCTATTTTACACATTTGAAATCATCATTCAATCATTGTTAGACAACCATTAGAAACCTGGAAGCGCTGGACGGCCGTTTCGTCCTAGTATGGGACTCTTCAGCAGTGCGTATCCACGACTCCTGCGCCTCGCAGGATTCGAACTCGGGACCTTCGGTATTGTGCGTGAACACCTAACCATCGGACCACTGAGCCGGCATCCAACGGTGTTAATGTCTAACTCTGATTGATCTAGGTATTTTGCGCAACCTCACCCATTTGTCTTTGGTAGTTACTATCTACACCCGACAGGGTTGAACTCCAAAACTCTGCCCCCCAACAAAAAATATTCTATTTTACTTTTATTTTGTATATTATACACAGCTTGTCAAAGATTGTCGTAGTGAAAGTGAACTCTCCGATGAATCCAATCATCTAATGAAATCAGATTCAATGCAAGAACAACATTGTCACAATCATATTCATCATGCCAATCATACTGTGATGAAAAGTAATGATAATAATAATAATAATAATAGTGTTAACACAAATGGTGATATGTATAACAATGAAAACAATTCAAAACATGTATATCAACGTTACAAACATTGTATGCAATCGGATAAAGGATTAAATTGAAAATGTGTTGTTTCCTTTTCTGTATGTGTGCGTGTGTGTGTGTGTGTGTGTGTGTTTTTCCGACATTCTCTTGTTAATTAATTAGCCAAGAAAAAAACTGTTTGAGAAAAAAACACTTGTCTTGTTTTTTTTTTAATCAGTTTCTTGTTGTAGTTTTGCACATAAAATTGTTTGATATAATATTTTCACACTTGTTGTTGACAATCAATTTGTTGTACATGAGATGGAATGAATGAATATACACAGGAACAATTATTATCTCCATCTTACTTATATGATGCTAGTTATATTTTTACTCTGAATTATCTATTCTCTGTCAATTGATTTTTGTTTTTTTTTGATAACTATAACTATAGTCTTTCGTATATACTTTGTGTGATCATTGATTTGTAAAATATAATTTGCTCGATTGTTTTGATCGCGATTCTTTTCTTCTAAATTAAATATTAAATATTATTTGCATCAAAAATTAATGAATAGTCGTCATTCAATATTGATAATATGATAGATGGTGAGATTTTTCGGGTGATGTGCGTGTAGATCAATTGACCTATTGTGAAAAAAAATGTTTGATAGTGTGTTATGGTGATAATACACTTTTTATGTTATGATTGATGATTTCAAATGTGTAAAAACACGAACCTATAAAACTCTGCCCGAAAGTATCGTAACAGTGCTCACTGGTGACTAGCTTCGTGAGGAAATTCTCGGAGTTCTAGTTGAGAAGACGTGACCAATTGAGTTCATCCCTGTCGGGTGTAGGCAGTAACTACCAAAGACAAATGAGTGAGGTCGCGCAAAATCCCTAAATCAATCAGAGTTAGACATTAACACCGTTGGATGTCGACCCATTGGTCCGATGATTAGGCGTTCGCGCACAATATCAAAAGGTCCCGAGTTCGAATCCTGCGAGGTGCAGGAGTCTTGGATGCACACTTCTGATGAGTCCCATACCAGGACGAAAGGGCCGTCCAGTGCCTTCAGGTTTCTAATGGTTGTCTAACAATGATTGTTTGATGATTTCAAATGTGTAATACTCTTGAATAATTAGGAGCTGATGTAATTCCCAAGAAAACCAGGCTATGTAATTTCAGGATTCACTGTCTTGATTGTGAAATATACATTGTGATTAGTGTTAGTTGAATTGTCTCAAAAAAAGTGTTAATCTATTGATCTTAACCTAATCTAATTTCAAAAGTTATTTTATGGTACAAAATTCATCAACGCTTGAAGCTATTACATCCTATTAGTATAACACTTTTCAACGTTAGTGTTAGGTTCGTCACTAGGTACGCTTGAAGCCATTACGAGTTCACCTTAGTCGACAAAACGCGAACAAGACAATAGACCAGAGTCCAGGTAGGCTAACTAGATCCCAAAATGCAAAATAGAAGTCTTGATAAGCGTAGAAAGTATATTCTGCAAAACCCAGCAATCACAATACAATCAAGCATGCAAATCTCGTTTATTTATACATCATAGGAACGTCCTTGAGACAGTCACAAAAATAGCACACTAAAATGCACGGCAACCAAGGATGATTTTCCTAGTGGGAAATAAAATCTCAATGTCAACTGATCAGCCCATGCTGGCAAACGAGAAATCCAAAATAAGGCATTTATCGAGCGAGTTTTGAGGGGTTCTAACGTCCCCAACAGTTAGGCCTGCTATAAATCCACTTTCAAGTGCGTTAGCCTTTATATTATTTTGTTGACATTCGATAGTTTAATTCCATAAACAGTATGACTCTCATAAATCGTTGTCAATTATGGTTGTATCACTTTTTTTTTAAAAAAATTGGATAAAATCTACCTTTTATGGTCTATCAGTGTTGAAATTCAGGATTTATTTTGATAGTTTCTCTCTTAATGAGCACAATATTATTATTATTATTATTATATTATCATTATTAAGATGGTATGATCAGTTTGTCAACTATAAAATAAATTATGTCCTCAAGTAAGGACTAGTTATGAACTAACAATATGAATAAAGAATAGCGTTTGACTGAATGCTATTTTCTACATTCACAAATCAATCTTTTTAACAGAATAGTTATATAAGCTTGTACTTTATCATATAGAATTTCCGTTTGGTTTAGATTACAAGATTAATATTTTATTAGTGAAATTTCGTGTTCGTTCGATACGTTTAGGACACCACTATAAGACTGTATATGCCCTTTGCTAATTATTTATTATAAAGGTTTACAAACACCGTTACAGATTAGCTAGTTTGCGTGATTTTTGAGCTTTACATGTATATGAAATTTTTAATTCTTCAAATATAAAAAAAAAACATACACGTCTTACTTCAAAAATATATTTACCAACCTGAACATTAATTATAAGAGGAGATGTATATATTGGCTAACAGTGGAATCTGTGACGCTCGTTTCGTCTTGTTTGCCGAAAAATGCGACTGATCAATTACAGTCCTAACTATTAATGAAAAGATTTAAGCTAACAGTATATAACTGAAGGTTAGTTGTTCTTCATGATTACAGAACATATTAGTTTTCTGATACATTTTCGAGATATGTTGTGATTATGAAAACATATTTGTGAAAAACATTGCCTTGTTTCTTCACAAATAGTAATTCCATTCGAAACAATTTCGGACTTTATGGAAATCCTGAATCGATCGATCCTAGAACAACTATTAGAAATTTTAAGGCACTAGACGACCGTTATGTCCTGGTATGAGACGACTCAACGGTGCTCATCCACGACCCCGCAAACTGGAATCGAACACAGGCCCTTCGTTCTCACGCGTAAACGCCTGCCCTCTAGACCAGTGATTCGGCATCCAACGGTATTAATATCTGACTTCAGTTAACCCACGATATTGCACGACCGTCATCCATTGTCTTCCGTTGGTAACTGCCTTTCACCTGACACGGTTGAACTCCACTGTTCACAACTTCTCACGAGAAATCTGAGAATTCATTCTCTGAGCTAATAACTAGTGAGCACATTATACTTAACAGTATATGGTTGGATGCTGACTCAGTAGTTTAGACGTTAAGGGTTCACATGTAAGACCGAAGGGCCTGGGTTCGATTCCCACCTGGTTGGTCCTGGATACTTAATGTTTTAGTGTCCTATACCAGGACGAAATGGCCTTCCAGTGTTTTCAAGCCATCAATACTACTTAAACGGTCTTCTTAAATATAATTCATTGCATTGCAGTAATTTCATACAATATTATGTTTTTCGATATTAGATCATGTTGTTACCAACAAACATTTCTAGTTTTTTATTGAAATCACATTGAAATGTAACATTTAATTTTATGAAAATAATAGAATATTTCCAACATTATAATGTAATATAAATTGGCACATTTTTTACAAACGAATCCATTTCTGATAAACGAAAAAAAAACTAACACAAACAACATTGTGCAGTTACTGCACAAGCAATACAGAAAGAAATTCACAAATTTTTTTACATTCTCAATTCTTTTGACAGAAAAATTTGAATCTAAAGTTAATTTGAATTGAAAATAGGTTGTTGTTGTTGTTGTTGTTGAATTACTACGATTTCATATGTTTATCATATGATCGGTTCCACTTGGCATAAGGAAAAACAAATTGCTCATAGATTTACATTTTTTGAGTATTTTATATCGGTATTTCAGTACTCATAATCAACTGATCTACTTTTTTTCAGGAAATAAGTACAATCTTGGCATAGAGTGCATAAAGTTTTATTGATAGTAGTAAAAATTTTCTTCTTCAAGAAAAAAAATCACAATACACTAATTTATATTATCGTTCGATTTTAGATTGGAAATGTTGTGTTCATTTTCAAATGTCTCAAAATTTATGTATTCTTTCGTTAAATAACAATTGCACTATTATTATTATTATTATTATTATTATTATTATTATTATTATTTGTGATGGTAATTTCCAGTTAATACTTATTGACTATATACTACACAGATAGATAACAGTGAAAATTTATTGTTAACAAAGTAGTGCTTTGATGCCAAATGATGAAAATATTGAAACCAAGTGTCGTATGTCTACTGAGTGTTGTTGAATAAATAGAGTGGTTAACGTTGATTGTTCTTTGGTAAGACGTATTGATAAGTACTCTCAAGGACAGTGAAGAACTGGCGTTGGCAAATAACTTTGGGGAGCATCTGACAGTACACAAGTTTATTACATTATCGGTTTTGTAAATGACGGTAGATACACAAGACAGTCAACTTAATATACATTCATTCAGTTTTATTTAAAAAATCTAGTCAACAAAATTAAAGTTTAGGTGAATACGATGATTTCACTAGCTAATCAGTTTTTTTAAGGTTCATAATCGTTTTTTTACAAAAACTAATCTGTTCGAAGGGCTAAAATATGTTTGGATCATTTATTGAATTAAATCGATTTCTAAAACCATTTCTCAAAGTTTTAACGGTATTCCTGAACGAATTTCCTAAAAGATCGATGTGCTGATCCAGAAGCAGGCACTAATGAAGAGTTCTGTACCAGGACGAAATGGTCTTCCATTGCTTCAAGTTTGCAACGGTTGTCTAGCTAAGATGATTTTGAGGATTTCAACCTTGAAAATACTAAGATCTCTAAAACTATTCTATACTGATTTGGCTCAGTTTCCATAATCTTCCTAATTGTAGTTATTTTTAACTTCAACATTTTATCTTATAATTCTCTACTTATCCTTATGATGAATAAAAATGATCAACTAACATACAAATCCTCATTGTTTAGTGACATAAAATAGTCACAGAATCCGTTCTTTATTTTATTTAAAATTCTTAATTTATCATTAGTAAAGGTAGATAATGACTGGCATTAGAATCGAGGACGTGCGAGTTTCACCTTCTTTGTGACTGATCAGTTGGATGTACCATTCATCTCAGAGTTGTGATATTCACCCTGAAACTAAACGCATTACCGTTCGCTTTAAACGTTATCACGTTATCCACTTAGCTACTGAATCCAAATAGTCACTGGCTTATGCAATGAAGTGAAGATTAATTCTTTTTTTACTGATTGTTAGCTAACCACTGTCTACCTCTGCTAATAAAGCTTGTAACATAAGGGCAATATTGAGATAATCCGTACAGGATGCACATATACCACAGAGGACATGTTGGGAACGTTAGATCCCCAGAACTCACTTGATAAAGGTCCTAATTTTGGATTTTATGTTTTCGCGCATGAGCTGATCAGTTGACCTTGAGATTACATTTCCCGTCCGGAAAATCCCTGACAGTTATTGGTTGATGTATTATTTTAGTACCATATTTTTGTGGCTCTTCTTAGGACGTTTCTGTTATGTATAAATAAACTCGGTTTGTGTGCTTTTCAACCTCATATTTTCCAGGTGCTTGTAGAATACACTTTCTACGCCTTATCAAGACTTCTTGCTATAGTTAGCAGGGCCT